GGATCCCTATGACCCTAAAAAGACAGGTGAAGGAGGACAGAGTCCTAGGAGCCCTCGGTGGCTTTTTCAGGCTTTTATTGGGATAACCAGGTACACGGCAGGATAGAGGGGCCGGGGGGCTGGGAGCCTGGCTGGCCTCTCAGCCCCCGGCGAGTCTTTACTCTTTCCTGGGCTCTCGGGCCTTCTCTCGTGGCCTTGCTTCTCTGCTGACCGTTCCATTTCGTGCTCTTTCGCTCTGCTGTTCCGCTGTTCTTTTTGCTCTGCTGGTGTCTCCATGACGCCGCCCTTATAAGCCGCCTCTCAGCCCAGGTGTCCCCACTTACACATGCCCACACCCCACTCCGGGTGCCCGCCATCAGGCGTGCATTCAGGACCACAGATCCATGGACAATCCTAATGGCGGGAGGGCAGAACAGCCTGATACCTCACTTACCTGCATTCAGTCTTCAAGCAGCTTCACCAGCGGTTCTGGTGGGTGGCAAGGTTGAGAATCCAGGATCTGGAGGCAGGAAATCTAATTTCGAGCCTTGAATCTACCACTAGCCAGGTAGGAGCCACCGCCCTCGGACTTGACAATAGAGATTACGAGCCCTCCCTGAACGCGGCCTGTATGACCCCCGCGGTTGCCACCAGGGATCTCCCGGGCACAGGAGCCCAGAGAAATCCAGCGCTTTGCCTGAGGTCACTAGGTTAGCAGGCAGGGGGCCAGCTAGGGTAGGGGCCGCTCCGCCCTGGCACGGCCTGTCTCCTGGGCCCTCTGAGAAGTGACCCAGACCCAGAGCTCACACTTTATTTGGAAAAGGTCTGGGGGGCACGTTCTGTGTCCTTTTTTCAGGACAGAATCCCACCCACCCCAGGCTGCCACGGGATGGCAGAGGATGGTCAGGAGGAAAAGGAGACTTCGGGAAAACGGGGAGAGACGGGTTCTGCTCTTAGCCAAAGAGAAAAACAAATTGTTAGCTACGAGCACCCAGGCCCAGGTCAAGGCTCACCTCTCTCCCCTCTCAGGTATCCAAGGTGACACGACACTGTTGTCCGACAAACACCACGAAGCTCTTCCTGGTCCCTTTGACCTGTTTGTTCTCGCCGACGGCGAACACTGCGCCGATGCGCTCACTAAGCTTCGGGACCCAGGACGTCCTGTGCTGTTCTCCCCCGTGTCGGAGAGGTGCCAAGGACGACGGCCCGCCAGGCTGCCTGTCCGCTGCGGCCTTTGCCTCTCCCGGGGTGGAGCTGCTTTGGGCCAGGGCTTCACCGGCAGTTGCCAATAGCCTCTGTGCAGTCCTCTCCCTGGGCTGCCAAAAACTGTAGTTTCCAATACGTTAACCATGACAGCAGAACATTAAACCCCAATGGGTCACAACTGGGGTGTTACAGGGCAGAGTGAGGGGCACCCCAGGGCCCCCAAGGCTGCCTGCTCTAAATGAGTTAAGTTATCCGCCACATCTAGACAAAGCATACTCTAGTGCAGAAATCCTTCAGTGGGAAGGAGCTTTAATACAGTTAGTATGCAATAGAGAGAAGGGAAGGAATAGATAAACTATCCGCATCAAACACCCAAGCTGCCCCATCCCCTCATGGACAAATGCCCAGCCAAACAAGGTTGGCCCAAAGCAGGGCCACGGAGGCCCAACATCTTGCCACAGGTCTAAGGCACCTTCTGGTGGGGACCCACAGGAAAGGGGCAGAAGGGGCCAGGCAAGTCTGGAAGGAAAAGAGGAAAATCCCTGGTGGCGCAGGGGTTAAAGACCGCGCTATCAAGCCATCCGCAGCCTCTGCAGCATGAGTTCAATCCCCGGGCAGGGAGCTACCCACGTGGCGCAGCAGACCTCTCCTGTCTCCCCGCTGCTCCCCTCAGCAGTGCATTTCAGTGGATCCACCTGTTCTGCTCCCCAGTCTCTCTGGTGAATCCTCTCACCTCCCACACCTCTGGCCTGCACCCCAGGTCTTGTATGCATAAATAAATATTTTTAAAAAAAACAAGTCAAGATAAAGTCAGCCGTGGTCAGCCCCCCCATTGATCTCTCACCCACGTCTGTCTCTTTCAAGTGTCTCCTTCCATGCCATGTTCCCCAAGTCCCTGGTACCAGACCAAGGCCAAGAAGCAAACAGGACTTCTTCACAGGCCTCTGCTCCACGTGCCTCCTCCACGTGTTCTTTATCTCCTTCCTCCCTTCTCCCTGTCTCCTGTACAACTTCCCTCCCCACCCAACTTCACCCTCCCTTGGGTGGAATCTCCCCTTTCCCTGGGGATTACCCACAGGAGCATTTGCATCCCTTCCCTCAGGGTCACTTGCTAATATCTGGAGACTTTTGGGGTTGTCATCATGCAGGAGGGGTGGAATGAAGACCAGGAGACCAGGAATCTGCTAAATATCTGTCCCACAGGACAGTCCCCTTCCAAGAATTTTCTGGCCCCAAACATCAATAGCGCTAACCCTGAGAAACTGTGTGTGCAGCATGGAGCCCAGACAAGGACAAATTTTGAAAGAAAACATCCACAAGGACTTTTCATAATGATGTCAAAGTACTTTTACAATGACCTCAGAGTGCTTTTGGACTGCAAGTCCCCATAGTAAATTCGACACTGACATCCCGCTGCAAACTGATAATCTGTCTCAATACAGTCAAACTCGATTAGCAGAATGTTCTACTAACTGAAAGCAAGAGTACAAAAATCACAAGGCTAAAAATTAATAAATGGAGTCAAATGAAAACTGGTACAGAACGTTCTGAAAATAATAGATTTAACTCTCAAGTGCTGAGGAATAACACACTAATTTTTATGGACTGTTGAATTTGGCTGAATTGGCTGTGAAGGATCTTCCCTAAAGCTCTGTTGTTGTTGTGACTACACGGCACCACTAGAGGACAGTAGTATTTCCTGATCTTTCACTTTATGCCACTTGGCCTTGTGATGTCTATAAAACAAATGCCTTAAAAGCCAGTAAGTTTTGGAGACATAAGTTTGGAGGATAAGTTTTTTAAAGGGAGGAGAGACTCATATACATGTCTCTATATAAAATACTTCTAGTTCCAGTGTTTACAGCCTAGTTTAAAATGAATATAACCTGTGCAACTTATTCATTCCAGTCTGGGCCCATAAAAGGATGGGTTGACCACTGTTGTGATCATCAGAATCACCTGAAAGGTTCTGGGTCATGACGTTGGAAATTTAGTAAGTTTGCATAGGGCCCGTGGGAAAATGTAGAGTTTCTCAGACTGCTTTTCGCTGTGACTGCCCAGGTGTCCTAGGAGGTCACATGTAGCCTTGAGACACAGCCCTCGAGGTTTTCACTGTAACCTATTTTACATCAATCATGAACCTGTGACTGTCATAGGATCAGGGAAATTGGTAGAACCACATCAGGGTATTGTGATGTATAGTTTCTTGGAGGGTTCAGTAAGCTTCTACAAGAAAAAGTCAATCTTGGGCCAAAGATGGGCCATCTAATGGCAAAAAAAAATAGAACATATGGCTTTACTGAGACTCTGCCTGACACCTGCTGTCCAATTTGATGGGGAATCCAATAGAATAGAGATTTGCAGGGACAGGCAAGTCAGATTCTAAGCCAAGGGCTGGCACTCGCTCTGTAAATGGTCAGATAGTAATTAGTTTAGATGTTATAGGACACATACAGTCTTTGTTAGATGTTCTTGTTTGCATTTTTTAATAACTCTTTAAAAATGGAACAGCATTCTTGGTTCAAGGGCCATAAAAGTAAGCATGTCTTTGACCACAAGCCAGTAGTTTGCTAAGCTCTGTTCTAAACTAAGGATCAGAAGCATGGAGGCAAAATGTTGAGTGGAAGAGAAACTGTATGGGATTACAGAAAAAGATATGTCTGATCTCTTACATTCTTCACCAGGCCAAGGGATGAGCTTGGGACCATTGTGTGGAGTATGAGGAATTAAAGTTATTGCCTCAAGAGAAGAGATTTGAGGAACCAGGAGACAGGAATTCTTAGACTCAGAGATCAAGTCCCCCCAATGCAGAATCACCTAGCTAAGTAGTACTACATCCCTGACAGTCAAAATTTGTGTGATAACAAATGCTTGTGTTTGGGAAGAAAAGGAAGTAGAGGCAGATGGGATCTCTGACTATTTTGCATGGCCAAGGGAAGGGACATCTTGGTGTCTGTGACCAACAGTGAACTTTTGACTACTGGGCATTGATTCACATTCTGCTCACCTATTTTCCAAACAGGATCATGTATTATAGGTATCCTGTGCCTGTTCCCTTTTACATACTGAGTATATTTGGGAGAATAGGACTTAAATTTTAGTTATGGGTTGATGGGCCAGGAGGAGTCATATTTGAACCTATGAAGAAGAAAGTAACATATCTATAAGGAATCATGGAGTGGGAGCTAGAAGTGGAAACTGGTTGTACCTGCAGGATGTTTAACATTCTTAGAGAAGTTGTGCATGGATGTTGGGCAGAAAAGGGTGGATGGTACTGCTGGTTGACCCCCAACAGTCAATCACTCCCTTTCTCTTCTACAAGAGTGTGGTCCAGAAAGAAACTGATGCACAGCTCAGAGGTCAGTGCTAATTGTGGTAACTTAATTACTGCTGCTAGGGGTTGGGTTAAGTATGAAAATTGGAATCCTTAGGCCAATGACATTAGGAAGAGTTTGCTAAAGTTCTTCCTTAAAGAAAAAGGGTTTCCTTCTTGCTTGGTTAGACCAGGGGTGGCAAGAATTTTCTATAATGGGCCAGACAGTATTATAGGCTTTGCAGACTACCCAACTTCTGTGGCAGCTCTGCCATATGCAGTATCTAAACAAACAAGCAGGGCTGTGTTTCATGCTCTTATTTATGGACACTGAAATTTGAATTTCATGTAATTTTCATGTGTCACCAAGTATTTATTCTTCTTCTCACTTTTTTCTTTTTTGAAAGTTGGAACTAAAATAGTCTAAATCAGAGCAGGGACTAAATTTATCATGATGTAGCTGACACCTAGCACAATACTTATGCCACAATATGTACACAACTATTTGGTGAATATTTATAATATCCTTGTGATGACCCCTTTAATATTATAAACATTTTTGTACCTAACATCAGAATATCTGGATATATAAGGCAAATATTAACCAAACTGAAGACAGAAATAGACAGTGATACAATAATAGTAAGGGACTTTAATACCCCATTTTCAACAATGGATAGAAAATAGAAAATCCCAACAGAAAATCAAGAAGGAAACATTGGACTTGAACTACATTTTATACCAGATGGAGCTGGCAGACATATCTAGAACATTCCAGCCAACAGCAACAGAATACTCGGTCTTCTCAACATACATGAAACATTCTCCAACAGTGATCAAATGTAAGGTTACAAATATTTGCGGAAAAAAAGATAAGCTGGTTTCCTGAATGGAAGAAATATATAATTGAGTGCTCTTGAGTGATTTCCATCTATCTGCCACATAAACCAGTCCCAAGCCCTCCTCTCCCCACAAAAAAGAAAAAGGAAAAGGAAAACATCTAGAAACACAAAGAGACACAGTAGCCCCTGGTGGTTTTAGCTTGCAACCTGTGTGAGACAAGTTTCCCTAGCTCTGAACACATTGTGCATTTCTTAGGTAAAAATTAAAGCTCTCTCCCTTCCACCCTTTGAAAATAAGATTAGGATATTTTACTTTTATAGTGGAGTGTGCTGTAAAGCTAATCTAATGTTCATTATGCCCCACCCAACAGTTTAAAGCAGAAGTCTTCATTAAATACAAACTAAAGAGCGGGGCTACTACGTAATTCGTGTGGCTGCACAATTTACAAATTGGGGAAAGCGTGGGGCTCTTAGCTCAAGTGTCACTATACATTTTAAGATGGTACTAGCCATCACAGTCAAGTGTGGGGCTCTGGAAGCATGGGGTCCTATGCAACTGGAGTTTGTCCAGGAAGCTGCCCCTAAAGAAACAGAAGACCAAAAAAAAAAAAAAAATAGACTCAGCAGATTGTCCTATGACAGACATTGAGACATCAATTAGTGTCAGATCATTATGTTGATGAGAGTCAATGCCCTCTGCCACCCAAAATGGCAGCATTTTACCTCGATGTTTGCAGGCTGTGAACATTAGTCTGTTGCTCCAAGCAATTTGTATTTAATCTTTATTTTTTGTGTACAGTTTCAGATTTTACAAAACATAGAAAATGGGCTCTCTTTGAGAGACACATTAAGTAAAAAGTAACTATCCCCAAGTCACATTGTCCCCAAACCAATATTTCAACTTATTGTCTAGTTTCTTTTCCTCGTGTTTCCCCATTACCACTACCCCCTCCCCAGGCAAAATTGTCCAACTTGCTGTGTTGTAACTTTTCAATTATTAGCCAGTTTCGTAATTCCCCACCCGGGCAGATTTTAAGCGATGCCATAGCTTTCCGCTGAGCTACTGTGTGTAGTGCACTTCTAGCCAGACTTGAGTTCCAGGTTCCTTCCTCATCAGCTAATCAGTGCATCCCAGAACTCAGCCTGTTGATTAAGACGCACAATCACACAGCCTGCAGCGGAGCGTGTGGGGTTGGGAACCTCCAGCTTCCCTGTACTCAGGTCTGGGTACGTACATTCAGGCAGAACAGCGCATCAAGCAGTCTCCAAACTCATTTGACAGAGACCTGAAGTAGTTTTAATGCAAATAACAAAATGAGTTAGTTTGTCTCCATCCATAACCCCTCAATAAAAGAATTACAGTACTTTATAAAAATGTCCTAAATGAGCAAACTACAGTTCCTTCAAATACAATTGTTACCAATGATATTTGGTCCTAATATTTGCTTCTCAGCGAATTTTCTTTGTTGTTCTTGAATAGCATAAGCACCACGTGAGGGCTGGTTCTACCTACAAGTAACATTAGATATTGTCTCCTTCCCACATCAGCTCAGTCCTACTCCCAGCAAGTGCCACCGGCAGGGAAAGGCATCTCTTCCATTTCTCTAAAACCCGACCTCACAGATGCACGTGGGTGCTGGGTGCTACACAGTAGTAGCAACCAGCCAGGAACACCCATGGGGTCATTTCAGAAATTCACACACCCCTTGAAGTTTGGGGAAGGGGGGTAAGGAAATCCATGCATTGCTTGGGGATTGGTTTTCTGCATTTCTAGTTCTGGAAGTTTTTTTCCATTACAGTAACCAGAAAATTATCAAAATCGACCTGCGTAGAAAGTGCAGGAGCCCTAGAACCTCCTCCCTCCACTAGTCTCATGGAACATTCTGCAGACCTGGGGGTGGGACTACACTTCCCACAACAGCCTCAGGTCGCTGCCCCTCAAGGCAGGAGCTGGGATTTGTTCTGTCTCTACCCAGTGTCTCCTTGCACCAGGCTTATGGCCTCCGCACGGGTACATGGCCCCGTTTCAGGGAGCATGACTGGATTGATTGACTTGCCCCTGTAATTTCAGAGCCTCACACAGTGCCTGGGACATAGTAAGCATTTACTACTCTGTTGAAAATGAACAAAGGAACAATGAATGGATGTGTGAGTGAATGAGTGAACGAGTAGGTAGAAAGAAAACACAATCCTGCAAGGTTTGTGTGCAAACACAATCCGAAAACAACCCGAACCAGACATCTCCCCAGCACCACTGGATCTGGGCTCATGGCAAATCATTGCTCCACTTAGCAGAAGGTCAAGGGCAAAAGTATGTAAATGCACCGGAGCTGAGCCGTGGTGAGCAGGTCTACACTCAGCCCCAGGCACACATCCCAAAACACTAGGGAAACACAGCAGGGTGCAAATAGGTCCTTCCAGAGGGTACTTCCCAGGCCACACACATTGTCGCACAGCTTCCAATGCTTTTACACTAAAGACAAACTCCCCAAAGCTGAATTTCCCAGTGTAGCTGCAAAGACCCAGGGTGTTGGTTCACCCAGATCCTGGAAGACTTCCCCGAGAGGTCCTCGTGTCCACTAAGGTTTAAGAACCACGACGACCTGCCTTTCTCTCCCCGCTGCCTTTGCTGCTGGGACCCTCCATGGCAGCAACTGGTCCCTGAGTGAGACAGAGATACCACCTCCACCAGCTGAGCCAACCTGGCTGATTGAACACCTCCGGGAGCATTAAAGACAGGCTGCCTCAAGCAGGCTTCCTCCTGCCCCATGAGCCTCTGCCTGAGTCCTTGGTGCTCTCTGCAGACCTCATCTCTGCTTCTAATTAGTTTTCCTGATTGGTTTTTAATCTGGCTCCTCCATTAGACCAGGAGCCTATGAGTATCCCCTGTGCCTGTTACACAAGCACCCCATAATTTATGCTGATGGGCGAATGTGTGCGAGTCCTCGGAGGCCAGTCTTAGAAGGCAGGGCAGGAGGAGACAGGAAAGGCCCACAGCACTGTGTACAAAGCAGCCTCCGCCCCTCACCCCCGGGGGTCTGGCTCTCAGGGTGCATGGCCTGGGCCTGGTGCCTGGGTGGTCCAGATGGGAGCAGCTGCGCAAGAGGCAGCGAAGAATCAAGGGCTGATTGAAGCCAAGGTTCAGGCCTCCGGTGGGGTCTAGACCCACCTCCCCCTCTTGACAAGATCGTTAGCACACAGGAGGCAGCCCCGCTCATCGCCAGTGGGCCTGTGCTCCTCTACCTGAAAGCTCCCGAGTCCTACCAAGGAGCGATGGAAATGCAGGTCCCCAGGCCCCCACCAAAGCCGGATTCTGTGGGTCTAGGGAGGGGCCCATCTCGCCCACACTTTGCAAGGTGCTCAAGGGCTCACGAGTTAAGATTCTTCACCTGCAAATAGCCTAAGTCTGACCTGAGGTTAAAGATCAGATTCCCAAAGGCCAGCAGCACTGTCAGCAAATCTGGGGAGGGGGGCCTCTCTGGAGCCAGGCGAAACAGGGGCAGGCTGTGGTCTGGGGGTAACAGGATGCAGGCAGTGGCTACACCTGTTTCTCAAGTTGGCCAAACACCTGAGGTTTCATCCCTCACCTGGACCCACCTCACCCCTTCCACCACGGACACAGAGAGACTCAGAAAGGGAAGCTCAGGCGAGGGGTGCTTGGGTGGCCCAAACCTGGGGGATGTGTCCCCCGGCTCTCCCAGTTTCTAGTCACATCCCATCACATCCCGTGGTTAAGAAACTCCTGCTGAGCAATTTGGGGTCCGAGCCTCCCGGGCCGCGGCTGGGTCTGGCTGAGGTGTGCGGATGCGATGGGGGGGTCTGCAGGCCGGCCTTGGGGGGGCTGGCCTGATCTCATGGACGCAAAAACGCTTCTCCTTTTTTTTTTTTTTTTTTTTTTTTTTTTTTGGCTTTTAAAGGAAACAATATGTTTGCTAGAAAAACCACACACACACAACATGATTATATACAAAACGGTTATCTGGATGTGGATTCTGTACTGCAGTGAAAGCTCTGTGGGTTCTATTTGCGCTTCCTCAGTATCAGGTACATGAGGCCGCTGATGAAGGTGAAGGCGAAGGCCACCCAGGCGAGGATGAAGGAGTAGCCGTAGCTGCCGCCCTCCGTGTAGTAGTAGAGGCCAGGGTTGTGGCTGTGAATGTCCTCGCGCTGGTCTGTGTAAATGGAAGCTGCGATCATGACGCTCAGGCCTGTCGGAGAAAGAGCGGGACCCCCATAAATCACGGCCCACGACCGGGCACCTGAGGGGCTACGGCCGGAGCTGCAGACAATGTTTTCATTTAAACTTAGACTTTTATTAGTAGCTGAGTGTCTACTTGGAAGTTGACAGCCCATATTCTGCGGCAGGTCACTACCGCCTGCCCTGTGGCCACTTGGCTGCCCCTTCTTGGGCTGAGCCTGTTTGGGCAGCTGCACTCCTGGCCCAGAGGGTAAGTCCTAAGTGATCCTGGGGCAGGTTAGCCAGACCCCAGCAGCAAGCAGTTTTGGCTTTGCCGGCCAGGGAAGGCCTCCGTTGCAACAACTCAACTCTGCTGTTTTCAGGTGAAAGCATCACAGACAAACCTGCTAATGGTTCTTTGCCAGCTCAGCACAAAGGCCTGAATCCTACGAGGTTCCCAAGACCCTGTGGAGCCCAGTCCTAGTGGCCACTCTGGCCATGCCTCCCCAGTCTCACGCTCCAGCCCCACTGCCTGCTCCCAGTGTTTCCCATCACAGGGCTCCAGCCGTGCTGTTCCCTCTCTCTGGCACACTGTTCCCTCCCCTCTGTCCCAAGCACTCTTGAGTGCAACCTCTACTCACCCTCCAGATCCCAGCCCAGGAGTCCTGTTTCAGGATGCCTCTCCCGATCCCCTCATGAAATCCAGCCTCTGAAGGCTAAAGGGGCTGTCTCCACCCGGCAGCCAGCCTTGCCTTTCAGTGCTCACTGGCCCTCACTCTTCCTGGCTTTACTTACACGACATGAGCTGGATGATGGAGGTTAAAACAAATCTCTCTCCCTGTTTGAGGCGGAAGAGCTGGAGCACAAAGATGAAGAAAGCGATGCAGCAGAGGATGGTGGACAGGATCATGGTGGCCTGGACCGCCTGCAGCGTGGTGTAACCTGGGGAAGGCAAGAGCAGAGACTGAGGTCCCGATGGCCTGGGTCCCTGCGTGCAGTGACAGTGATGGCCGCCCTGTGGGATGGCGGGGCGACCATTGTGGTCTGCACAACAGGAGCATGGGGACAGGAGGGGCATTTCCCCACACACCCTGCCTCTAGTGCCCGCTGGAGCACGCAACCTGGCCATCCTCGACACCCTCATCTGGAAAACGAGGTCATCTGCTCTGCGCCTCCTGGTGTGGGTCACTGCGCCCAGCTGGGGCTTGCAGGGGGGAGCTTTGCAAAACACAAATGCTCAGGTTTCAACCCGGAAGATTCTGGTTCCACAGGGGGAGATGCGGCTTTGGGGGCCTTTGTGTGTTTTAGAAAGACCTGTCCCAAGGGGGGCTCATGGGACTCCGATGATCTGAATGTGCTGGTCTTGGGAGCTACTGAGGGAAAGGAAAAGGAAGTGCGGGCACGCGAGCCAGGGAGGCCAAGGCTGAGAAAGGAGCCCGCTGCAGGGAGGGCGCTCTGGGGGCAGGACGCAGCCGCGCGGCCCTGAGGTGTGCCCCAGAGGCAGGCACAGGGCTGGAGCTGCCCGCATGGACCTCGGCTTCCTGGGACAACAGCTCCCAGATGGCCAGGCAGGAAACGGGAGTGGACTCATCCAAGCGGGGACTTAACAGGACGCTGGCCAAAGGCAGTTCTGTGTACGGGCTGGGCGTTATCCCCAGAACGCAGCCAGGAGGGCGAGGGCAGTGCCCAACACTAAGGAAAACACTAAGGATAAACTTTCCCCATTTTGTTTGTTGTTGTTCTGCAATTTCCCCTGAAAATGACTGGAAGGAAGCAGCGTTCGTGAGTGAGGAATGAAATGTCCAGAGCAACAGTCGTGGCTCATTCCTGCAGCACGTTAGGATCACCTCGAGAGAAACACACACACACACACACACACACACACAATCTGGGACCTACTTACACTAAGTTAGTGGTTGTCCCAGATATCACTTAACTGGGTGTTCATGTTTTATGAAGTACCAGGACCCCAAAGTGCCTCTTCCCTCATTCCTACCACAGAAAAGGGCCATGGAGGAGAGCGGCTAACATTTTTAGGCGGGATTTTCCATCTTTACAAAGCCCTTCTGTGTACGTGAGCTCGTGGACAGAGGCAGGACTGACAGGTGCAGCTACTCCGCCCAGTTTACAGCTGAGGATGTCGAGATGCCCCGAGCTCAGCAGGTCGGCAGCTCATGAAGGAGCCAGCCGTCGGGTTCCTGCCGCCTCTGGCTGCTGAGATGGGGTGAGTGACATCATGGCTGCCGCTGAGCCTACTTAGAGGCGAGGCTTGGGCAAAGAGGAGCGAAGATGCAGATGGAGCTGAAGCTGGCGAAGGGTGAGGAGGGAAGTTCTCTTTGGGCATGAAACAGGGAAGAGTGGGGCCCAGTGTGGGGGTGTGGTGCCCCCTCCGGGCTCTAGCCCCCACTGCAGCATGCACTTTGCACCGCCAGGCCCCCGGGAGACTTGGGAGAGGCGGAGGGAGGACAGGGTTCAGCTTCTCCTGCGCGTCTGTGCTCACTCGGGGCTCCCCACAGGCTCCCCCTCACCGTGCATGCCGTCGTGGATCTCCGTGCAGTTGCTACCATTGAAGCACACTCTCCAGACATCCGCATAAAACTGGTCTCCAACCCACCAGGCCTGAAACACAAAACCGACACGCAAGCAGGGGCTGTTCGTTAATGATGCCGATGGACTCCAGATCAGGTGAGAGGCACAGCTGGAAAAGACCAGAGAGGCCCGATCTGCAGCGTGATCCGTGTGTCTGGGGAGTCAGGTTCAAATGCAGACTCAAACCAGCAGATCTGGGTGGGGCCTGAGAGTCAGCATGTCCCACGCGCTATCAGGCCTGCTGGTAGTTTAGCGGTGACCCGGGTCCTTATGGGGCAGGGGCAAGGCGATGAGGCTCAGCTGGTGGTAGGAAGAGCCGGCTGTAGTGAAATCCACAGAACTATAGGGGCCTTGGGAGAGGGAGTTAGCAAGGGAGCCTGTTACAGAGCAAATGATTAGAGAGGACTCTCCTGGCTCCTGTCCAAATGCTTCCAGAACTCTCTGTGCTCCTGCTGCTCTCCATCCTAAACGGCTTTCCTTCCACCCAAAGTCTGGAATCATCCTGCCCCCTGCCCCATCCACCCAGTCAACAAATATCTGCTCAGCTCCCACTACAAGGCCACATACAACTCCAACCTCAGTGAATCCTATATGACTGACTCACTAATTGGTAATAAAGCCCATCCATATGCTTTCAGGAAGTGCCATGATGCTAAAAACACCCAGGGAGCTCTGGCTGATAGCTTTTCTCACCCTAATGCCTGTCTATCCCATTCACTGTCTGGGAACTTTGTAGGTTGCCAAAGAACTGGCACTAAAAAATAGAAAAAGGGAATTCTAAGAGAACACTCAGCAGCATTCATTTCACGGTGTGGGCCCTTTGGACAATGGCAGGTCCAAAAGCTTTAATCCACAGCAGTCCATGTGATCCCTGCCCTGGCCTCTCATGGCAGCTCTTTGAGAAGTTCTGGGAGCCAAACCCAATCACTGCAGCAATCTCCTGTTAAGAGATTCAGGGTCAGGCACCTCTGTTGTGGTTCTGATCCCAGCTCTGCCACTTCCTGCAGTGTAAACTCCACCAGGCACTGTCGCTGCTCAGATGCTCAGTTCCCTCCTCTAGAAAACAGTGCCAAGGCCTCCCTGGTGGCACAGGTGGTTGAGTGCTGCACTGTGAAGCTGTTCACAGCCTCTTCAGCGCGGGTTCGATCCCAGCCGGCCAGCAAGAATCCCACACGTCACAGCAGACCGCTCCTGTCTCGCCTGCTGCTCCCCTCAGCAGTATGTTTTGTCATTCTGCCTGTTCTGTTCCCCACTCTGTCTCTGGTGAATTCTCTCACCCTCCCACCCATCTGGCCTATACCCCAATTCTTGTATAAATAAAATAAATCTTTAAAAAAAAAAAAACAACAAAACAGTGCCAGGGGAAGCCCCCTCTCAGAGACTTGAGGTGAAGACCAAATGAGATGCTGCAAATAACAGGACCTGGCCAGAGTAGGAGCTCTCTAAGCGACAGATGCTGGAATGGTCCCTGTTGTTTATTATTATGATGATTAATCAACAGCAGTCCACACATAGGAGTACATGTAGGCTGAGCTAGTAGCTGTGCCCATGATGCACTTTTTGGTTTTTCTATAAGTTTTTCTGCCTCTAAAGATTCCTACAGTCCTAAATGATCGGGATTGGAGCCAGGCCTTTGGATCAGAAGGTGGGCATCAGAGGAGCTCTGGTAAAAAGCTTCATTTCCTGCTAAGAGGGTTATTAATTCATGCAAATAGTTAATTGATCAAATACATTCCTGCCATATGGCTACAAGCTAGATAATAAAGAAAATAGTTAAATTTCTCATGGGAAGAGTCTAGAAAGTTCCAAACATGAGTTCTTCTGGAAAGGACATGGCCAGGGTCTTGTTGGTAAGGTGATGTGAAAGAAGGGGGTGCAGCATCACCTGGGATGGGTCACCTGGGGATCTAGGGCAGTGGTCTTTGGCCAAGAGTGATTTTCACCCCCTACCAGATATTTGGCAATGTCTTCAGACATTTGGGTTGTCACTTGTAGGGGTGGAGAGCTACAGGCATCTGTGGGTAGAACCAAGTATGCTGCTAAGCATCCCACAATGCACAGGACAGTCTCTGAAACAAAGAAAAATCCAGCCAAAAGTGACAATAATCCAAAGGTTGACAAATTGATCTAGAAGAGGGCTGAGTGTAAGCAGTATCCCCAAGGACTTCCCACAGCCAAAGCATCATTCCAGGCTCTGAGGGAATCAGGGATAAGAGGACCAAGTACTCCATCCACCCAGACCTGAACATGGCATGCTCCGAACCCCCATTCTCAGGCCAAGAGTCCTCAGGTCTGGGCTGAGGACATGGGCGTGCCTTGGTAGGGAGGACAGGCCCAAATTGCAACCACCATGGGGGAGTTATTTCTGCTTCCACTGACTACGTTCCAGGGCTTCTGGCATGGTCATAAGGAAAGGGAACTTACATTGTCGATGGTGGCGACGAAAAGCAGCGCCGCAGAGGTGATGTGGAAGATGATGATGAAAGCCAGAAGCACCAACATTTTCACAAGGCGTGGCGGGCAAGGCGTCGACTTCACAGACCGGAAAGAGAGACGTGCTAAAGATGAAAGAAATTCAAACTTGTCAATGACTAAGCAAAAGTGCAATGAAAAATAAGCAACTTTTAGCGGGATCTTGGAAAATCAAGACCTTGATTTTTTTTTTTTTTCCTCTTTCCTCGCCTGGGGAGGCATCTGTGGGTAGAAAAGGACATGAGGAGTTGCTCCTGGTCCAGCCAGACACCAAACAGGCCTGTGGAAGAGGAGCAGTGAGGCACAATCAAAATCCCTCGTTCAGAAAAACATCACACCTCTTCCAAACAGCAAGTGGTAGGCCCGCATGCCCGAAGGAGAAGCTTTGTTTGAGTTCAGATGCTGTTCCTGGCCCCTGGGCTGCCGGGTAGGGATCCCGCACACTTCACAGAGCCAGGGGACGCCCGCTTTCTGGGTACCCATGACTATGCTGTCTGCCGTTATAACTAAGCAAGCGTAATCACAATACAAAAGTGTTTCCTAATGATCTGACCATTTTTAAAATTAATCCCCACTCAAACACCCTTCCTCTAAGATCCACCCGCTTTACACGACACCTGACCACACCATGCAAATACACGGTTTCCAGGCGGGGGGGCAGGGAGAGGAGAGTACAGGAAGACTACATTTCCCAGACTCCCTTGCAGTTGGGTTGCAGCTTTGAAACTAATTCTGGCCAATGGGCTGTCAACAACCTTGGTGCGTCACTTCCGGACTGAAGCATTTCCGCCCGGAAAGCAGGCCTGAGTTGCAAATGGCGCAGCTGTGTTCATGGATGCCTCATGTCTTTGAACAGTTGCTATGATTGAGAACGAGGCATCGGATGTGAAACCAGTACATTTTCAGGGCTAATTGTTTTTCACGATGAGTTGGCAGCCTATGCACAATATACACAATACACAATGGGAATTGATCGTCAAGTGAAATTGGAAATCTTGGGAAAGACCTAGAATTGTACCAACTCGATGGCAGTGACGCTGGAAAACTGCAGAAAAGACCCAAAAACATCAATACAGAAAGACTTGTTCATCTGGGCTAGTTAGCAATAAAAGGTGAGAAAGGTAAATACGGAGAATTTAAAAAAAAAGGATTAAAAGTGAAACTTGGGAAAGTCGATGAAGTCTTTGAACACTTTGCAAACATGATCATCTTGGTCAAATGACATGAAAATATCCTGTGACTCTGTTACATCAGCTGCTCCACTGGAGAGTGAAGGCTAATAATCGACAAGATCAGCAATTCGAGTCATTCCAATAATTTGCGACCAATTAATAGCACTAAAATTTTGTAAAACATTTTTAGTTCCTCTTTTTAAAGTCCAAATTAGACTTTGTTTTCACTATTTATGATATTTTTGCGCCCGTTTTAAATAGATTCATTTTATTTTATTTTTTTTAAATGGAGAAGGAAATTCTCTTACTTTATTTTTTTTAAGATTTATTTATTTATTTATACACTCACTGGGTACAGTCAGAAGGGCAGGAGGGTGAGAGAATTCACCAGAGCAGAGCGGAGAGCAGAGCAGGTAGACTGAGGAAGAAATACACTGCTGAGGAGAGGTAGGAGAGGTCTCCCGTGCCATGTGGGACCCTCGCGTTAGGCCGGGATCCAACAGGCACTGCAGAGGCTGCGGGCAGCTTTGCAACCCAGCACTCAACCGCTGCGCCTCCAGGGAGGCCCTAGATTCATTTTATTTTTTAAGTATCTCTCCAAACACAAAATTTTGGGGAACCATTTTATGAAAGTTGCCTACACCGTATTTTATGTCTAAATATTTCAGTGTGTATTTCTAAAAAACAAGGACTTTGTCTTACATAACCACAGTATAGGTATCAGTAGTTTCAAATAATAAAACACTATTATCTCTCCCGCAGTTCATATTGAGATTTCTCCAATTATCTCAGTAATGTCCTTAGCTTTCTCTTTTCCTGGTTCCAGGAAAATCCAGGATTAATGGGTTGCATTTGGGAGACATAGATCTTTTGTCTCTTTTAATCCACAATGGTTCCTTAGTCTTTCTTGGCCTTTCAAGACCTTAATATTATGTAAGCATGCTGATCATTTATCTTGTAGAACATCCATCCATGTGTTCAATGCCTCCATATGCTTGGATTCAGGTCATGCTTTATTGGCAGGAATACGACATAAATGATGTGTCTCAGTGTAGCCCGCCAGGAGGCACAGGATGTCAGTTTATCCACTGTCAGTGATGCTAACTTTAAGTGATTAAGGTCCACCAGATTTCGCCATCATGTATTTCCCCTTATAATTAAAAAGTAATTTGTGGGGAGGTATTTTTAATTTTGTGGTAAAATGCACATAATTTAAGATTCACCACTAAATACTAGGGGGCACTTAGTACATTCACAATGTTGTACATGTATCGCCACTATCTAGTTCCAGAACATTTCATCATCCTGAAAGGAAGTCCTGTTCCCATTAAGCAGCCACTTCCCATTGCTCCCTCCCCTCATCTCCTGCCAACCACTAAGATGCTTTCCAGCTATGGATTTGCTAATCTGGGTATTTCACATAAATGGAATCACACAAGATTTGTCCTTTTGCATCTGACTTCTTTCACTCATGTTCTTTCACAATAGTTTCTAGTTTCATCCATGGTATAGTATGTGTGAGGAGATGTTTTGAGACAATATAAAGATTCGACCTCATCAAAATGTCACCCCAATAATTTTGAGCATCCATGGGCATTTCTGAAATAGAATCACTTGAAATAGCCTTTTTCTTTTTCTTTTTTTAAAGATTTAGTTATTTATGCATACAAGAGCTGGGGCACAGGCCAGAGATGTGGGAGAGTGAGAGGACTTACCAGAGACAGAGTGGGGAACAGAACAGGCAGACTGACTGAAATACACTGCTGAGGGGAGCAGCTGGCAGGACAGGAGAGGTCTGCTGCGCCATGTGGGTTTCTCTCTGGCTGGCCAGGTATCGAACTCGTGCTGCAGAGACTGTGGATCGCTCCATAGTGTGGTGCTTAACCCCTTGCGCCACCAGGGAGGCCAAAATAGCCTTTTTCTGATGCCAGTTCTACCACCTGGAGAGCTATATTGTACAAGCCCCCCCTGCCCACCATCTTCTCTGCCAGCTCCTCTCTAACTCGTTCTCTCCTGGGATTCTTTCAGGGGACACATCAAGGCTCATGGGTGTATACAGGGGCCCCTCCTTGAGACTCAGGACTCAATACAATGACAGTGACCCAGGAGACATGTGGCTGCACAGCTCAGTTCTGGCCATGCCAGCTGCGATTTTGTGCATCATTACTTGGAAGAACCCAGTGGCCAGCTCAGAGATTCTTCTAATTCTTTTAAAAAGGACAAATTCCCCTTTGTTTAAGCCTGCGTCATTCTCAGCTGCCATCACAGGCTGCCTCCAAACAGATGCATTTCTGACCCTCACAAAAAAGGCTCATGTAATACACTAAATGCCATGTTATTTTAATACCAGCAGGAATGCCAAAATGCCAACTTCATTAGGAGGCCAATCCACTCAGGGTGATAACGGCCTCATTGACTGTCCAACTCAAATGACAAAAATGCATATGGACACATAATTAAAACTTTCTAGAAAAGGAGAGAACGTTTTAACTTGTCTTTCCCGAGTGTGGAAATCAAATGTTATAGGCCATGACTTGAGATGGTATATGAATACAGTATTAAATACCACCAAATCAAGTAGTGAGAAAGTTCCCATTCTAATCCTTCTGAGTCCACCCAGGGAAAAGACCCAGGTTGGTACTAGCCTATGTATAACACTTAGGCCTTTTTTTTTTTTTAAGATTTATTTTATTTATACAAGAGCTGGGGTATAGGCCAGATGCACGGGAGGGTGAGAGGATTCACCAGAGACAGAGCGGGGAACAGAACAGGCAGACTGACTGAAAGACACTGCTGAGGGGAGCAGCGGGTGAGACAGGAGAGGTCTGCTCGCCATGTGGGTTGCTCCGAGGCTGGCGGGGATTGAACCGGCACTGCAGAGGCTGCGGACAGCTTCACAGCGCTGCGCTCAACCGCCTGCGCCGCCCGGGAGGCTCCTAGCCATTTTTTTTTTAACATAAAGAAGCAGCAGAATGTTGGGCAGGTCATAGTGCATGGCTAGAATTTAAGAAATTCATTTTTTATATTTATTTTAGACTTCGTCCTTTTTTAGGAAGTAATGCCATTTATAGTAGTGATATAAAGTATCCTCAAAACAAATTTACTGAAATTTTTAAAAGTCATTTAAGAAAAATATCAGGTAGATAAAAGGGCAAGTATCTTTAGTGGGAACAAAAATCCTGATGGTGGATTTTTGCTCAGGTCACTTGAAGTCAGAAATAGGTTCCTGCAGAGAAAAGGCTATTTTTTTTTCTTTTTTATAAAAGATTTTATTTATTTTTGCATAGAAGAATTGGGGTGTAGGCCAGAGGTGCAGGGGTGAGAATATTCATCAGAGACAGTGTGGGGAGCAGGACAGGCAGATCTACTGAAATACACTGCTGACGGGAGCAGCTGGTGAGACAGGAGAGGGCTGCAGCGCCCTGCGGGTCAGCTCCCTGGCCAGTGACTGAGCTCAGGCCATAGCAGTGATAGTGCTGAGACTTAACCCCTAGGTCACCAGGAAGGCCCCCTAAAAAGGCTGTTTTTTATAAGAGGTCAAGTCAGTCCTCCATTCCAGTGAAAGAGAAAGGTCTGGGGGCTACACCAGTGGCTGGAGGTTGGTTTGAACTGTAAGGCACGAGGAAGAAAACTAGAGCACAGGGAAGTAAACGTGACCGATGTTGCGCTCTCCTTTGATGACAACTGGAATTCATATCCCCAGAAAAAAGGAAATGGGGTAAATCAATATTAGGTCATGTGGACCCTGGACATTGCTAGTGACCTCACCAATTTCCTCAGACTGAAGAAATTACTCAGTAGTAGATCCTGTGGATCTTTATGAGGGAGTGAACGTGACGCTTTATTCCTGGTCGCCAGGCCAGCGGAAACCTCTCCCTTCTCCACTGTCCCTGACCACCTCGCCCACATGCTTCAGGGTCCTGTGCATCCCAGATGGTCATCAGCTAGGAACCTTTATTCCCCACCCCTCATATTTCCGTGTTGGCGGAGATACACCTGAGGAGCACCTCTGGCCTCATGCCCCGCCCCTCACACACTTCTTCACTCCTGATTGGAGGAGCACCCAGTGTCCTCTTTTCGGATTGGTGGAGCTCAGCCATCCATGGCCAAGAGTGCAGCGGTCTGTCCTCCCCAACATGGCCTCCCTGGACTAGATGGTGGCGTGCCTGCTCTCTGGGGTCCCAGCTTCCCTAGGCTGAGCTACCCCCAGAGTACGGGGCACAGGTGCGGGGCTGAGAGCTCCCACAGGCTTGTTTAGCTACAAAGTGTAAGGCCCAGAACTTGTCTCAATAATCTGTCAGAGAACATTCTTTTTCCAGGGCGTTTGAATCATGCCACAATTTACTCAGGTGGTTCCCTACTGATCCCATTTAAGTCGTCTTCAGACATTTCTACCACTCCACTGCCAAAGAACATGCTTAAACTCATTTCTTTGCACCCTTGCATTGGTATATCTGAAGGGCAGAGTCCGAGAGTGGGGGTGCTGAGTCCAATAACATGTACATTTAGATTAGTTTTAATTTTTAAATGTGCATTTCATCATTTTTATTGA